TTTCTTATCATTTGCACAACAACCATGCACATTCAGACTTCCCACTTTGACAATTTTCTTCTTCTTATTCTTTTTAGTAATTATTACAATAAAAGGGGTTACTAGCCCATTGTTCCAGGCATTTTAGTTGACTTTTACAACACACATGGCTTATGGAGGAAAGATTCTTATTCCACTTCCCCATGGATATAAAAGGAAAAGTAATAAGACCAAGAACTATTAAGATAAAATCAAAGAAAACTCAGATGAGTGTGTATAAATAAACATGTACATGTATGTGTAGTGTGACCTAAGTGTAAGTAGAAGTAGCAAGACGCACCTGTAATCTTGCATGTTTATGAGACAGACAAAAGACACCAATCCTACCATCATGAAAAACAATTACAGGCTTTCATTTCACACTCACTTGGCAGGACGGTAGTACCCCCCTGGGTGGTTACTGTCTGCCAACCTATTATGGGAATATAATCTGTAGTGGAGGTAAAGTGGAGTAGGGGTCATACTAGGAAAGGATGGAGGGAGTGGGGTGAAGGAGGTTTTCAAATTTAAATTCAGGTTTATTTATTTCTTTGCAAGTAGTACATTGAGGTTATGTATTTACAATAATGGGTTGCAGTGCAAAGAGAGAACTTCTATTATGCCTAGGCATTATGGGCCGACTTAATTTAATGGCTTACTGACTACAGTGGACCCCCGCATAACGATCACCTCCGAATGCGACCAATTATGTAAGTGTATTTATGTAAGTGCGTTTGTACGTGTATGTTTGGGGGTCTGAAATGGACTAATCTACTTCACAATATTCCTTATGGGAATAAATTCGGTCAGTAGTGGCACCTGAACGTACTTCTGGAGTGAAAAAATATCGTTAACCGGGGGTCCACTGTACTTAACACTAAAGAAATTTATCATAGTTGCACAATAGTTCTATTAATTATAAGTTAATCTAATTTATATAAACCAAAGAATATATTCCTGTGACAATGGACACTAGGTTCAAAAGTAATTATTGAAATTATATTATGGGAATATAACATTGATTTACTAAAAGTAGTTTACAGTATGAGAATGCTACAATTTGGTTTAGGGCAATACTGTTTTGGGTAGGTATTTATACTACTTCTAGGTAGTAGGTGGTTAGACAGCGAAATCCGCCCAGGGATTGGAGATTACCGTCCTGCCAAGAGTTAAACGTAAAGCCTGTAATTGTTTTACATGGATGGTAGGATTGCTGGTGTCCTTTTTTTCTGCTCAGTTAACATGCAGATTTCGGTATGATTGCTACTTCTACTTAAACTTTAGGCACATTCTACATGTACAAGCTATATATGTATGTATATATAACATCCCTGGTTCTTCTTCTTTTTTCTAGTCTTGTTGTTATGTTGAGTTTATTTTCCTTCTTATCTCCATGTGGGAATGATAAGTGGAACAGATTTCTTCATCGTAATCTCTATGCTGGTGTAAGAGGCGACTAAAATGCCAGGAGCACAGGCAGTACCCTTCTTTCCTATAATTATAAATTTAAAGAGAAACTTTCGTTTTTCTTATTGGGCACCCTGCCTTGTGGATAACGGCCGAGTTTGTTGAAGAAAAAAAAAAAAAAAAAAAAAAAAAATTTATACATAGCTTAGTATTAGTCAATGTATGAACTTGGTCGTTCTATCTTGAAATTTTAAGATTTATGTGATTGGGAGATTATTGGTAAGTTAAATATTGAGTATGGATACTTAGGTGATTAAGTGCTTTTGAGAAGATCTAATTGATTTTCAGACCAGGTTCTTTAGTATTTTCTGTAATGAATTCAATATTTGGGCCCTTTATGTGCCTAGAGTTTTTACACAGTGTAATATGGACACGAGGTACATCAAAAAGAGATCTATGTCTTGTGTTATGGTCGTGTGTCCTGTTAATGTTGGTGAGGAGAAGTTTGAGTGGAGGGTTTATGTTTGTATGTATTGTTCTATATATGTAGTTGGCACATGAATAAGGATGGATGTTCTTTATGGTGAGCAGATTTAGATTTTTGAATATTGGTGGAGTATGCTGTTTGGAGTGGGAATTTGTTATCATTCTGACTGCAGCCTTTTGCTATGTTATTAGTGGTCTTAGGTGATTTAATGTTGTTGATCCACATGCACAAATTCCATATGTGAGATAAGGGTAGATGAGTGAATGATACAGTGCAAGGAGAGCTGGTTGTGGAACATAGTACCATAGCTTTGATAGTATGCCTACTGTCTTAGAGATTTTCTTGGAAATTTGTTGTATATGTGTCTGGAATTTGAGGCTACTGTCAAGGTGGATTCCTAGGAATTTTCCCTCTGCGAGTCTTGTGACGGGTGATCTGTTTAGCGTTATGTTAAGTGGAACATTTGCAGCTCTGTTTCCAAATTGAATGAGATAGGTTTTGTCAGTATTCAAGGTAAGTTTATTAGTCATCATCCAGGCAGATATTTTCTGCAATTTGGAATTGATAGTGTTGGCGAGTATGACTGGGTTTGGGTGAGAGAAGACGTATGTAGTGTCATCTGCAAATAATATGGGTTTGAGTAGCTGTGATGCATTCGGTAGCTAATTGATGTAGATGAGAAAGAGGAGTGGTCCAAGGACACTTCCTGGTGGGACTCCTTCTGTGATTGGTTGAGTGGAAGAGTTTGCACCATTTGTGTACACACATTGGCTTCTGTTACTAAGGTATGACTTTAGGTAGTTGAGGGAGTGGCCTCTTATACCATAGTGTGTTAATTTTGTGTGCAGCAATTTATGGTTGACTGTATCAAAAGCTTAACGTAAATCAATGAAAATTCCCAGCGGGACTTCTTTCTTCTCGAGAGCAGTATATATTATTTCTATCATGTGTATGATAACATCATTTGTGTTTTTATTATTCCTGAATCCAAACTGACAGGGGTTTAGCATGTTGTGCGAGACGAGGTAGGAATAGATCCGTCTATGAATTAATTTTTCAAAGATTTTAGAGAGCAGTGGTGTAAGTTAGATATGTATTGGTCTATAGTTATTCAGGTCAGCTTGGTCACCTACTTTGTGGATCGGGGTGACCCTCACTATTTTGAGAATTCCTGGGAAGGTAGAAGATTCAATGGATTTGTTAAAGTGTGTTGCAATAATTGGTGACAATACATGAGAAGCTTTTTTGTACATAAAAGTTAGCAAGTTGTTTATGTCTCCTGCCTTGTTTTTATAGGTGTTGATGATGAGCGAGACTTCTGTTGGGTTGGTAGGAGCTAGGAATAGTGTATTTGGGTAGGTGCCCATGATGTAGTCTGATGGACGGGTGTTTGAGCTTGGGATTTTGCTCGCTAGGTTCTTTCCTATGGTGGAGAAGAAAACATTGAGTCTGCTGCCAGCAGTTGGGTCTAAGAAAGATGAGGTGAATCATAGAATTGATGAGGGGAAAATGGTGAGCAGTGCACTTAGGAGTCTGTGGAGACAAAGAACTTTGTCCTTTGAAGCAAAGAAGGGATTGTATGAGAGTATAGTTTTACCAACGCTCTTATATGGGTGTGAAGCATGGGTGATGAATGTTGCAGCGAGGAGAAGGCTGGAGGCAGTGGAGATGTCATGTCTGAGGGCAGTGTGTGGTGTGAATATAATGCAGAGAATTCATAGTTTGGAAGTTAGGAGGAGGTGCGGGATTACCAAAACTGTTGTCCAGAGGGCTGAGGAAGGGTTGTTGAGGTGGTTCAGACATGTAGAGAGAATGGAGCGAAACAGAACGACTTCAAGAGTGTATCAGTCTGTAGTGGAAGGAAGGCGGGGTAGGGGTCGGCCTAGGAAAGGTTGGAGGGAGGGGGTAAAGGAGGTTTTGTGTGCGAGGAGCTTGGACTTCCAGCAGGCATGCATGAGTGTGTTTGATAGGAGTGAATGGAGACAAATGGTTTTTAATACTTGATGTGCTGTTGGAGTGTGAGCAAAGTAACATTTATGAAGGGATTCAGGGAAACCGGCAGGCCAGACTTGAGTCCTGGAGATGGGAAGTACAGTAAAGCACCCTTCTGGCAAGACAGTGATGGAGTGAATGATGGTGAAAGTTTTTCTTTTTCGGGCCACCCTGCCTTGGTGGGAATCGGCAAGTGTGTTAATAATAATAAAAAAAAAAACGTCCTTATGACTCATCTGAGTTTTCAACTTCCAATTGTGTCCCCTTCTTCCTGTGTCTCATCTCCGAAACATTCTGGGCCTGTTGTCCACCTTATCACTTAGTCTCAGTATTTTATACATCATTATCATGTCCCCCCTGTCCCTCTATTCTCTGGTGTCATCAGGTTGAGTATCCTTAGCCTCTCCTCGTAAGACATACTCCTTAGCTCCAGAACTAGTCTTGTTGCAAATTTCTGCACAATCTCCAATTTCTTGATATGTTTGACTAGGTGTGGTTCCATACCGGAGCTGTGTACTCCAATGTGGGCCTGACGTACACGGTGTACATTGACATGAAAGACTCCTTACTTAGATGTTGAATCACTATTCTTAGGTTTGCCAGGCCTCCATATGCTACTAAGGTTATTTGATTGATGTGCACCTCAGGAGATGTGCTTGGTATAATGCTGACCACAAGATCCTTTTCCTTAAGTGAGGTTTGCAGCCTTTTACCCCCTAGCCCAGAGGTTGGTGAACTTTTTTTGGGTATTGCCCCCAAAAAATTTGTGTACAGTGACTTGAAAGTCCACAGAATCTGGAAGACAAGAAACATTCAAATTCAAAACAGTTTATTGAATCCATCTGTATGGAAAATACAATTATGCAAGCTGAAAAGTATGTATCATGCACACACGCACACACGTGCACACACATACGCTCTTTGTCTCTGAGAGTGTGTGTGAGAGACAGTGAGTGAGAAATATTACTCATGGTTACCCTTACACTACTTGAAAAGTAATTAATGTTAAGTATGCATATTCATCAGTTTTTTAATTACCTTTTTACTTCCATTTGCCACAGGTAACATGTTTACAAAAAATTCCTTATTATTCCAGACTGTAAATAAAGCCATGGTTACTGATGCCAATTTGATAAGTATTGGTATTCTTGACATCTATGGATTTGAAATATTTACCAAGAATGGATTTGAACAATTCTGCATCAACTATGTTAATGAGAAATTACAGCAAATTTTTATTGAGCTTACCATGAAGAGTGAACAAGAAGAATATAAAACTGAGGTAAGACCAACACAGTGGAGTAGACATAAATTGCATGAAAAGAAAAAAATGAAGCACAGGTGCATTACTAGGCTTATGTAACAGTAAGCCTAGTAATAAAGATTTAAAAAAAAGGCCTTAAAATAATGAAAAAAAAAATTCCTTGAAACTTAACCCTTAGTAAATATAAACATTTCCCATGGTTTCTTTCTTTTTGTTTTTATTACAAAAAATGCTATTTCTAATAAGCATAGAGATCTCCAGTGAATACTAGAAAGGACTGCCCTTCTAGCATCCAGCCTGTTACTGGGTTTTTGTAACAAGTAGTCAGTAATAGTGCTTCAGGATTACAACTGGTAGGCTACTAACTAAAGAAATTAAAATTTAATAAATTTATTAATAAAAAGGTTGTCTAGGCATATATTATGAAAGTAAATTATTGTAATCAACATAATCAAAATAATCACTTCTCTCGTGTACAGTAGTATTGTGCTGAAGGCACATATCACATCTTTATGGCTTAAGTACCGCCTGGTACATTGTTAGCATTTAATAACATAATACAAATATATATAAGTAAGTTTGTGTGTATGTATGTAAGTGCTCTAAGTAGTTCGTTATGTTGCAAGACTCAACTAGACTTTACCAGTGACTGACTAAAAGTCCTCACATAAACTAACTTCTTGACCATCCTGTTAATCAGAACAGCTTACTTGAACAATAAAACGACTGATAAGCCGAACAGCAATATAGCAAGCAGCACCGACACAGAATCAGGAACAAGGAGATAATATAACAACACTAAGTAGGGACCATCTGCAGATCCTCCACAAGTCACAAAACTCCTCTACTACTGAATCTAAGTTCAGCATAAGAAAATCCCCGACTGTGACAGTACACATATACCAGTACAAATTAGGTCAGAAGTTACAGCTCAGGACCTGAGTTTCACAGAGTGTCTATGCGACACACAACCTCAGTACAACGTCGAAAATCACTAAGTCTAGACTATGTTCTGTGAACAGAGTTACACAGAACCAACAACAAGAGAGCAACAGAGACTATCTTCCAACAAGAGCCCACAAGGAAGAGGAGTGTGGGACGCCTTGTTAGGAGAACGTCCAACCGACAAGAGCTTGAGAAACCCATACAGACTACTCCAGGCGAGGTGTGATCATCCCCCCTCATCACTGAATAATATATAAATGTTACATCCTACCTAATAATACAACTAAGTCAAATAATAATATAAAGCAATATATTTACAATTTAGCTAATATCACAAATATAAGCAATATAAAATTATATGAACAGGTGATATACATTATATACATTGTGACTCATTCAGGGGTCACAATAGTTTTGCCTCCAAAAATAGTCAGAAAAAGATAGGTGAATTAGACTCTGTAATATTAGCTTCATGTTATTAGTAGTACCTTTTAGATGCATGTGTAGTAGCTGTTGACTGTGAGGGAAAAAACTAACTCAAATTCTTTCTTATATTTTAAATGGAAACTAATTTACAACACTGAGTGTGAAAGCTTTCATGTTAAAGAGATGAGATTATAATATATACTTGCAGGGTATCCACTGGTCACCAATAACGTACTTTGACAACAAAATAGTTTGTGATCTTATAGAGAGCAAACGACCACCCGGCATCATGTGTATCCTAGACGACACTTGTGCAACCATGAGTGCCAAGTCTGAAGGTGCTGATGAAGATTTTCATCGCAAAATGGAATCACAGGTAAAATTGATGCGTCTCTTAACCCTTTCAGGGTCCAGAGGCCAAATGTCAGAGTAACAGCCAGGGTCTAAGAATTTTCCAAAAAAATTATTGTTATTTTTTCTTATGAAATAGAAGAGAATCTTTATCTGAATATAATAAAGCAAAAAGTATGAAATTTGATGGAAAATTGATGAAATTATGCTCATGCCAATTTTAATGTGTCAGCAATATTTACGCATTGGCGATTTTGCCAACTTTGACTCCTATTTTAGGCCAATTACATTATTCCGGTCGACCAAATTCTTAGCTATTTTGCTAGTAGTACTTCTGTTTTATCAGTTGAGCACAAATTGCCCAGTCAAAGTGATAGGAAATTGGTAGTTTGGCCAATTTAACACAAGGTTCAAAATATTCCAATTTCAAAATAGGATCCAGAATAAACAATGCAGGCATTCCTGGCACTAAACTAACATTTCTTCTGTTCATCAGTTATGTTTTAAGGATTTACAAATGAATTCCATTTTGATTTTTTATTCACATAATGAATTTTTATTCACACCAATGTTGTAATAATAATAATTATATAAATAATATCAGCACACTCATGAACATATGTCAGACCCACCAGCTGACGCGTATTAGACTTGTGACAACATTTGTTTACTCTTGAACATCGGCAAAAATTTAACATTTCCGCTACTTTGAGCTCAGTTTCAAGCCATTTTCTGTATTAAAACCAATCAAAATCATCTCTATTTCTGTAATATATATTCCATTCTATCAAATGAGACCAAGAATTCACGAATACAACTGTAAAAAGCATGTGAAAAACACCAGAAAGTAGCTGTTTTAATCCAAAATTATGGTCACAGTTTTTTCTCATGCACTGTGTGCTGCAGGATTTGTTTTAGTGGTGCCCACTTACCACATAGATGTGTTCTTTTATATCTAGGCCCAAATTTATCACTCACAGGTTATCTGAGTGAGCTGATCTCATGGCGTAGATCTACGGTTTGAACCTTGGCTTCAAAGCCGTAGATCTACAGGATGGACCCTGAAAGGGTTAATTTTCTTTTCTCCATATATTTAAATAATATGAGAGTTTGTATAATGTAATACATACTGTGAATAAAGACTTAAAAGATATACAAAGACAATATGGACAGTTAATTCCTGTTGGGGCTACAGTTTGCTCAGGGTAGAACTAAAGTTATACAGAGTATACTTCTTACATGTATGCGTGCATGCACTTGTGCACATGCATGCACATGCGCGAGTTCACGTGCACATACACTCAAGTGTGCATCCACACACATGCATTCAAGCGTATGCACACACTCATGTGCGTATGCACACATGCACTCATGTTTGCATGTGTACATACATGCACACACAAACACACACACACACACATTCTGTTTTTTAACACACTGGCTGTCTTTCACGAAGGTAGGGTGACCTAAACATACTCCACCTCTTTTCAAGAGTCTTAACTTGCTAAATACACAAAACATCTACACTTATTATTGTGCCTACTACATACACAGAACACTATACTCTAATGTAAACTCTCCTCTCAAACTCCTCCTTAATAACTATAACAGAACACACAACCATAATACGAGACACAGATCACTCTTTGATATCCCCCCATGTTCATCTCTCCCTATGCAAAAATGCTATGCACGTAAAAGGCCTGAAGATCTGGAATTCATTGCCAGAACAAACTAAAGGACTGCTGTCTGCAAATCAGTTTAAGGCCCTAATAAGAAATCACCTCATCACCCCAAAACTAACCAGACAAACCGTACCTAATCACTACCAGTTTTTCAAAAGCTACTCATATTGTGCTAATGAATGCTCAACCACTCACTACTTCGAAATTAGGATGTCTGTTTTTTTTTCATTGTTTTAAATAGTAGTAGATTGTAATACAGTACATCATAATGTAAATTGTTCCATTGTAATAGCAAATTTCATTGTTTTAAATAGTACTAAACTATAATACATCATTTTGTAAATTGTTCTAAATTGTTACATTGTAATTCTGTAATCTGTAATACTGTAATATTTAGTTCTCCTGTACTTACTGTAACTCATCTAATGACCATATGACTTATGTATATTGCCTTACTATTCTTAAGTTAATCTTTAAGTTTGCCCAAAATCCTTACCATACAAAGGGGCTTTTGGCATGTACATCCAAGTATTATATTCCTCTTAATCTTAATCATTCACTCTATTACTGTCATACCAGAGGCATGCTGATTCTACAATTCAGATGCCCTTCCAAACTGCAAATATTCCCATCCCTCCTTCAGAGTGCAGGCACTCTGTTTCCCACCTACCGGACTCAAGTCCGGCTAACTGGTTTTCCTGAATTCCTTCGCAAAATGTTACCTTCCTCGCACTCCAACAGCTCGTCAAGTCCCAGATACCATATGCTTCCACTCCTATCTAATGCACAAAACCTCCTTTACCCCCTCCCTCCAATCTTTCCTTGGGCAACCCCTATCCTGCCTTCCATCCATTACAGATTTATACACCCTCCAAGTCATCTTTTTTGTTTCATTTTTAAATGTCCAAACCATCTTAATACAGTGGAACCTCAAAAATCGAACTTTCTTCGGTCCAGAAGGCTGTTTGAGTGCCACTACCGAACGAATTTATTCCCATCAGGAATAATGTAAATTAGATTAGTCCATTTTAGACCCTCAAAAATACACTTATAAAAGCACTTACAAAAATACACTTACATAATTGGTTGAGTTGGGAGCAGTTCGATTTTTGAGGTTCCACTGTAACTCCTCATCAGCCCTCTGGATAATATTTTTAGCAACCCCACACCTAATCTCCAAACTAGGAATTCTCTGCATAATATTTACACCATTGCCTCCAGTCACCTCCTCGCTGCAGCATTCACAACCCATGCTTCACACCCATATAAAAATGTTGGTACAGGTCCACATCCCTTTATCGAAAACCCTTGGGGTCAGTATTGTTTTGAATTTTTGAATTTCAGAATGATTCTCAATGTCGCCACTTGGCGGCAATATGGACAATAGCATTGTGATGACTGACGCTCCACACACTACGAAAAAACTTCGGTTTTCAGAACTTTTCGAATTTCAGAATTTCGGATAAAGGAATGTGGACCTGTACCACTATACACTCATATGTTTCCCTTTTCGCCTCCATGGGTAACATTCTTTGTTTCCACAAATGTCTCAATGCACCACCCACTTTTTTCCCCTCGTCAGTTATATGGTTCACCTCGTTCTTCATAGACCCATCCACTGACAGGTCCATTCCCAGATATCTGGGCACATTCACTTCCTCCATATTTCCTCATGATATCCAATCTTCCTTTTCCTAAATTGTTTATTACCCTCTTCACCTTGTTTTTTTCCTGTGTTCACTTTTAATTGCCTTCTTCTAAATACCCTCCCAACTTCATCCACTAATGTTTGTAACTTCTCTTCAAACTCCTCTAAAAGCACAGTGTCATTAGCAAAAAGCAACTGTGACAGCTCCTTTTCTTTTTTACCATATTCTGCATATTTTAATCCTACACCTCTCTTCAACACCCTAGCATTCACTTCTTTTACAACCCCATCTATAAATATGTTAATGTTTTGACTGTCAAGACTCTGACCTAAAGTCCCTCATCTGTGTCGAAATATTTAAAAAAAAGTATTTTTCTTCAAAATGTAAGAATTTTTTGTGAGTTTTAAAGAAATTTTTTTTTTACAATCATACTTACCAAGAATATTAGAAGGATGTGAAGTTGGACTAAAGTGAACTGCTTAATGGCAACATCGTGACTGCTGCTCACTCGGTAAATTAATTTTTGTAAAGTAAAAGACACAAGTGCAATCTATGTGATTTTATTGTAGGCAATGTTTTGCTCTCCAGAGCTTTGTCAAGCCGTTACAAACATACATGACAGAGAGGGTATTTTATAGGCTTAGAGTGAGGTTAATGTTAGTGGTATTAGTAGTAGTTGTGATTTAAATTGTAGTGTGATTAATATGGCAAAACATTAATCTCGACATAGATAAGGTATTAGAAGTTTACTTGGGTAGCATAAAATAATAGTTAGACAAATATTTCTATTGGAGGTTGATTAGAGAGGCTATTTCATGTTTCATCATCTTAATGTCTTGTGTAGCATTACCAGGAGAGACTATGTGATGGCAGGATTTACTGTTTCCAGGAGGATTCTTGCTAAGACTTCAGAGATGGTGAAGCTGCCTTTGTTTTGTTTAATTGTATTAGACACAGCAATTAGTGATGATTCAAGGCACTTGTGTCTGTGGAAATTAGTTTCTTTGATCACTAATTGGGTGTCCCTGAATTTCATGAGATGAGTGGTGGAATTTCAGTGTTGTATGCAGGCGTTGTTCAAGTTATTATTCCTACATGCATAAATGTGTTCATTGAGGCAGGTGTCGAGGTTTCTTGTTGTTTCACCTACATAAATCTTGTCGCAACCTCCATAGGGTATAGTGTAAACCCTTGCATTGACTGGTTCATGGTGCTTGGATTTTGTCCTGGCTAGATCCTTTATTGAAGTGCTGGAAGTGATGGCTACTCTAGTGTTTGCATGTGAAAGTACTTTAGAAACGTTCAATGCAACCTGGCTGTTGGGAAGAATTATAACTTAGTTAGGAGTGGTGTTGGTGCATGAAGAATTAATGATCTGAAGAGCTCTTTTCTTGCATTCTTTGATGAAAAAGGAAGGAAAATGTAAACCAGTGAAGGTTTGGTGAATGTATGTACATTCCTTGTCAAGAAACTCAGGACTACAAATTCGGTATGCTCTTAGGAAAAATCTGATGATGATGCCTCTTTTGGTCTTAGTATCTTGACTGGAATAGAAGTGTGTGAGATCATTATTATTTGTAGGTTTCCTGTAAACTTGAAATCTTAGGTTGTTATCTACTTTGTGAATGATGACATCTAGAAAAGGTAGCTTGTCATTGGATTCTTCTTCTAGGGCAAACTGGATTGCCGGT